TGCCCTTCTTGGAACCCCACCCCGACCTTTTCAGCCCCAGGTTTCGCTCCCTGGAAGTCTACCAGCAGCTCGTGGTTCTCGTGATGACCTATAGGTCAGTGAGCAGCTCGTAGGACCCTTTTCTTTAGAACGCTGTTGAGGGACAGGAGGGGAGAGCACAGTGAACCCCACCCCAGCCCCTCTCCCTGCCCTGGGCTTCAGCCAAGTTCTCTCTGGTAGCTTTCAGGAACCCCTGGAGGAAGAGGAGGATGAAAAGGAGCCAAACCCCCCCTTGATGGTGCCTGCCGCAGACATACTAAACCACGTAGCCAATCACAATGCCAATCTAGAATACTCTCCAGTGAGTGGACCCCTCCCAGTGTGTTTGTAGGTGTGTTGATGACGGCATGATTCAGACCAGTGCCTGTCATTTATGGCTGCTTGGCCACTAGGCTAAATGGGCTCCACTTTCCTGGTCCTGAAAAGGAGTAAGTTAGCGCCTCCTGTACGTCCGTCTCCCAGTGAAATAGTTTGAGCACAGAACTTCTCATGTTTGTGGTTAATCCTCTGATGAACTTGACTGCCATCATTTCTTTGGTGCTGGAGGCGGGCTGCTCTGCACAATGCCAGGGTGTGGGCAGCAGGTCAGCGGTGTAAGGTGATGCCGGTGCTCATTAAATTGTTTACTGTGTGGAAGTTCCTGTTGGTGGGCATAGCATCAATCCCATCGCTGGACAGGCCTGCTGGAGGGTCTGCCTAAGGGGGGAGTAATCATGGGGCGGGGAAGGGAAGGGCCTGGTCCCAGCTGCTCCCTTCCACTCCAGAACTGTCTTCAGATGGTGGCTACTCAGCCTATTCCCAAAGGCCATGAGATTTTCAACACTTACGGGCAAATGGCCAATTGGCAGCTGATTCACATGTATGGCTTTGCTGAGCCATACCCTGACAACACAGATGACACAGCTGACATTCAGATGGTGACAGTGCGAGAGGCAGCATTACAGGGTGAGTGCCTGATTGACTCAATCCTGGACACGTGGATGTGCCTCTTTTCCCCCGTCCCCGTCCCCGTCCCAGGTGCTTTGCTAACAGTTGCTTTTTGCAGACTAGGGGTAGACTAAGAAACGACCTTTGATATACTGAGGCTTCACACTACTTTTCTATCTACAGGAGCAAAAGATGAAACTGAAAGGCTCCAGCTGTGCGAACGCTGGGATTACTTATGCGAACTAGAGATGGTAGGGGAGGAGGGAGCCTTTGTGATTGGGCGGGAAGAGGTGCTGACTGAAGAGGAACTGACCACCACACTCAAGGTAAAGGGCCCCAAACGGCTATTTAATGCTCAAAGCAGCCTTCATATTTAGAGCTATAGAGCCAGGTGAGGGAGGAAAGGAGGGATGAAGGGAAGAAGATATTTGAATGCTACCAAGATAGGTTGTCGTCTCTACATCAATTTCAGAAACACACAAGTGGCAAATCCGAATTAAAGGGCCCATGGTTGCTTCTAGGTCCTGTGCATGTCTGCTGAGGAGTTCAGAGTTTTAAAAGAACAAGATGGATGGGGAGATAAGAGGGAAGAGGACAGCCTGGCGATCACAAATATCCCCAGGCTCAAAGAATCATGGAGACAGCTTCTTCGGGACAGTGTTCTGTTGACCCTGCAAGCCTATGCCACAGACTTAAAAGCTGAGCAAGATTTACTCGGTAATAAGGACGCCTACAGCAAACTCAGCTGGAGGGAGCAGCAGGCCTTACAGGTTCGTTATGGGCAGAAGATGATCTTACACCAGCTGTTGGAACTGACGGGTTAAAGCTAAGCGGATTCCCTGCTGCCTGAAGGAACATCCCATGAGAAAGACTTTTCTAAGCTGATATTCATTGATGCTTGAAAAGGAGGAAAATTTGGATCTTTCCTTTTGGTGGTTAATAAGAAAAGCCAAAGGAGCAAAGGTGTGCTAGGATGAACTCTGAGGTAAGGGGACATGTTTAAGGGTTGGGAACAGCAGACTTGGGAATCTCTGCTAATTGTCACCAATCCCCCCCCCCTTTTTTTTTTAACTTTTTAAGACCAAGACGCTTTATAGCTGTTTTGTTCTCAGTTTGGACCAAAGTTAGCAGAAATTTGATTGTGATAATAAAAGGTCTTGTAGTCTAGTGTAGTGTTTAATAACATGAACTTTGAAAGTAGACCTGGTTAAAATTGAGTCTATTTGGAACAGAAAAGACATCCTCAAGTGGATTCCCACCCCCCAAAGTTTAGGCCTGGTAACACTGTGTGTAGCTTTGACAATTACTGCTGCCTTAACTTTTTAATAAGGATTTAATAAGCTATGTCACTGGCACTCAGCATGTTTTAACTCCTCAGCAGTCTGAAGTTTGCTCTAGATGGGACAACTCACCCTCAGGGAAGAAACCCTGAGACACCAATGACATTCAAGCCCGCATCATGTAAGATTTTCTAGTTAATTTTGGACCTTTTTGTCCTCTCTGGCCATAAACTTGACAGCCATTAAAAGTGTAAGTTTCACATATACACCTACTCCTTTCTTTTAAAATTAAAGGGCATTTTGTAATTGTTTAACCATAGAAACCTGCTCTAACAATAAAAAAAAGACTTTTTTTGCTTGTTTGAACAGGCCAAACAGGCTCAAAACTAGTGGGAAAGATCTACCGTTTAGCAAAAAGTTGGTTCCCAAAGTCCCCAGGCTTTCCAAGGGTGGACTGTCAGCACTGGCTGCTGCTCCTGAGGAAAGGCACAGTGGACTGGCATGTGTGTCATGACTTTAATGTTGCACTGACTACAGTCTGCACACACAAGAAGTAGGGGAGCTAACGGCCAAGAACTGGAAAGGCTACAGAGTATAACACTGGACCAATACACTTACAAAACACTCAAAATCCTTACAAAAGAGGTTGTGTTGGTCCTTTTGACTTTTTGTTGTTACTCATCTTAGCCTGGGATAAAGGGGGAGGGCAGTTGATACTATTTGGTTCCCTTTCCTCAATTTACAAACATCAGGATAGATTTGGAGGGGCGGGTGTGGTGGTGGTGGCGGTACATGCTTTAGACCTGGTGTGTTTCCCTTTGTAAAAAGAGCATGTTCTCTAGCAGTCAACTTTAGATCTGGGGCAGGGACAAAGCAAATTGTATGCTAAATTCTATCATACTCACCAACTTTTGTGATTTTCAAGGTCCACATTAAAAAAATGTTATGTAATATTTAAATTGGCTTTTTTGCTTCTTCTTTGGGACACCAGGAATGTCAAGACGTGGAGCTATGCCCCCAGGCAAGTACATGGTGGCAGCAGCCTCTTCACATGAGATGGGCAGTTACCAGTTTATGTACGTGCCTTTGACACTTTTTGCACAAACCCAAGAAGTTCCAGACAAAGGTTTTCTCTTTCATGTATTTACACAAGTTCAAAATGATATTCACAGCATTTTCTAAATTTTGGCCAAGAGTCAAAAAAATGCATTTAAACTTTGGAACGTGCCCACATAGACAGGAAGCTGGCCCAAACTAATTGGGGCAGGTTCCTGAGAACCAAAGGGCTGGGAAAGTCAGGAAGAGCTGAAAGGCTTCCTCAGCCAGTTTATGGACTTGATGCTGTGGGACATCCAGGCTGACACATGTACAACAGAAACGCAGTTCCGTCTAACTGGCACCTGTCCCTTCCATTACTTGCTGAGCCTGCTTCTGTCCCATGCAGCACTGTGCAACGGACTGGAATAACCTGAAGGGAAAGAGTTAAGTTTGTGAGAAAAGTTCAGGCCTGGCCAGTGTTCTCAGTGGGTAGAGCATCAGCCTGCACACCACACCAAAGGATCTCAGGTTCATGTCCCACCCCCATCTGTATGTGTGTGGGAGGCAACCAGTCAATATGTCTCTCACATGCATCTCTCTCTGAAAAGCAATGGGAAAAAGACACCCTCAAGTGAGTAATGACACTCCCCACCCCCCCAAGATCAGGCCTGGCAACACTGTGTGTAGCTTTAACAATTAACTGCTGCCTTAACGATCCACCCAGGCTGAAGCCATCAAATGATTCTCATTCTCAGACAATTAAAAAATCTTTTAACTTACTTTTCAATTTCTGGGGCACAGTGTACAAATTCATGGTTCCAGAACTTAAATGCTGGATTTTTAATCAGCTCAATGAAGGTAATAAGTAGACCCCAAGGATGTGGCCTATTTACAATCAACCGTTCCAAGAGAACCCTGGAGAAGGGGAGAATGAGTGAGTTAATGCACCGAATTCAGGATCCCTAACTCTTCTCCCTGATTAGTAAAGCTATTAACTTTTAGTTTACTAAAGACAAGTGGATTAATCTCTGTATTCTATATATCATGGTTAATAACCCAAGTGGATTCTTGAGAATAGGTTGGATTCAAACCCAGATTTCCTAATTCATTACTGAGCCTAGAAGACTAAGTTAGGGTGAAGTTAGGATAATATCAGACTACATGGTACAAAAAAGTAATCACTTAAAGTATGCACTAAATGAAAGGAAATAGGAAGCAAATTCTAATACTGAATGGCAGTTAGTATTGACTGAAATACTCATTTTTTTTTACCTAGCCAACTGTACTTCTAAATTTACCGAGAAAATAATAAAGCACAAGAACACAGATTTAAGTACAAGGAAGTTGACTGCAGCTTTATAAATAATTACAAGATAGGACATTATCACTAGTTAATTTTTGGTGTATAAATCTAAGGAATACTGTTGTCTAATACCCACAAACTACTATTAGGGGAGGAGGCAACTTTAAAAAACCTTCTAAACTATAGGCGATAAGTCCACGTGCTTTAACATGGGCTGGCCTGCATAACTCGGGACTGGTTAAAAATTGCACCACCACCACATGATCTTAAATCAAAATGCTGGTGTCTTTTATTGAAAACTACTTTTTATTTCAGCAATGATTATGACCTGTGATTCAGACTAATTATTAGACAGGAACCATGTCCATTTTGTTCACAACTACATCCCACATTGAACACATGTAAAAGATGTTCAATGCACAGGAAAAACATTCAAGAGAATTCACAATAAAGGGGTAGAAGCACCTGGAAAACAAACTTCTCTCTTACCTTGTGATCTGTTCTTGGATAGCTTCAGTGTTGGCCTCTGCAAAAAGGTACAGCATGGTGCAGCTGAAGTAGTGAGTGTGGCTATTTGGGTACCGCAGCTGGTTTGCAATTGCATTTAAGAAGAGATACCGACCTAAAAAAAAAAAAATCAAGAAAACTCAGTTTAGTGAGGACTTGCTCTGTAAGACCAAAATAAGAAGGCAAGTCATTCTGATTGGCTAGGATTTGGATTTCTTCTGCTATAAGCTTTCAAATTATCCTGTAGTCCTTTTTCATTGCTGTGGATCTTATTTCAATATTTCCACATTAAAAAGTTTTAAAGTATTTCCCTAAAAAAATTTAGTGAAGTATGTCACTGTTTTACATTACATAATCTCTTTAATGTCACTTAACAGAAGATGGCTGAATTCTCATTTTTGCCTGTGACCCATCTGTTCCAGTGTTACATTTCATGTAACCTCTGGAAAACTCCACTGTACCCTCATTACAAAATGAGTACAAAAAAAGCCAAGATATTATTATGAAAATAGTTTTGACCTCACAGCCCTTCTAAAAGGGTCTTGAACTCTATCAGAGGTTCACAGACCACACTTTATCTATTAACTAGGTTTGGTTGTCTGCCTCTGTTTGATATTACTCATGCTTGTAAGGCTATCACAGTTTTAAGCAAATCCCTTCTACAAATAGGCCAGCAGTATATGCATACTCAAGATTAGCCCCTCAAGAATCCATAGCAAAGTTAACAGTAGGCAGGCATCCCTTGGTTAGCACCTACTAGAATATAGAAAACAAAAGAAATGCAGTTCAACCAGGCAAAATGCAACCTGTAGTAGGAATTATATTGTGAGCTTTTTGCAGAACAAGTAGGGGAAGTCCTATTCATTAAAGTTTATAATGCCTAATATTAAAATGCTGCCTACCAAATAAGCACCAGCAGGTGATGGGGAAAAAGCAGGTTAACAAAAACAATGTAACAAGCCTATTTTTAAAGAGAGGCTAATAAAAGGAACATGTTTATTTTTCACACTAAAAAAATACTGCAGTCATATACTGAAATATTAACTGATATGGGAAGAATTCTGGATGATTCTTTCCTTTATAGTTTTCTGCATTGAGCAGATAGTATCCAATTAAAAATAAAATAGCCAGACAGAGCCATAAACACTGACAGAACATTATTTCTCTAATGTATTTTTATGACTGGACTGTAGCTTAAGGTGCAGAAAACTTGACTCTCAGAACTTGCTGGCTTCACTCACCTTCAGTGTCCAAGTCTACAGCCAGGTTCTGGAATATGTCCATGTGAGCCGAGTGGGTGATGGTGCTCATTGAGGGTGTGCTGCCCTTGTTGTGGATGTGTGCAATGGCCTGAGTCCCGACATAGAGCACCAGTGCATTGATGAGCTGTAGGTTATAGCGATTGCCAGGCTCATTTGATACCTAAATGAATAAAACAAAGCACCTGACTTACTCTCAGAGGGCTGATTCATGCCTTTTTATGCCTTCAAAGAAAAGCTGAACTGCTTTCAATATTGTCATTTACATTTCAGATAAATTTCCTTGAGTTTGTTGAGGCTATTTAACAAATACACAGCTGCCCATGGTGGTTGTGTCAAAAACAAACATTTCCCTTAGGAAACTGAAGCTCTTTAACAGGTACCAGCATAAAAGTGAAGTTTATAAAGTGAAAATATGCACTACACTTCAATTACAGAAAAGATTTGGAGAGGGAAAAGGCTTCCTCCTTGGTGTGGAAAATTAATACAACTTCAAGTCATTTTCTATAGAGCAAATTAGACCAATTCTTTAGAAAAATCTTGTAGTACTGGCTGGGAATAGTTACTAGCAGTCTATTCTTACAGAAAATCAGTCCATTCCCTGGTCGCCTCTTCCAAGGTTAGTTTTTTGTCGCTAAGATGAATTAGTAAAATGTATAATCTAGTTACTCTCACCCAACCATCAGAAATGACTTGGGGTGGTGAACACATAATACAACATACAAATCATGTATTATAGAATTGTACATTTGAAATCTAAAAGACATAGCTAAGAATTAAGCCAAACCAATTAACCTGTAGGTTGCTGCGCAGATCAGATAGAAAAGTGACTGGTGACCGAGTTTTAAGATAGGAATCCAAATCCTTTTTGAACTGAGGTGGCATCACTCCAGTAAAATTGGTGAGAATCCGGGGTGCGATGTTAATTTCACTCAACATATCCACCTGCCAGACAAATACAATTAAAACCAGAGCATTTGTAAGAGTTAATTGTATCTATGCTACAAAGTGGTAGAAATGTTTTTCTAAAACTATACACATTATAAATATCTTAAAGAGTAGAGCTGCTTTTTATCAATGCTTAGAAGAATTGAAATGCAAAATTACAGAAATTATCTCTCTAAAATTAAAGCAGGTTAGGCACCTTTTGTGGAGAGGTCTTACTTATATCACTGTTTTTCCCCCCTGGACTTGGACTTCAAAACCAGAGTACAAAATTAGATTACTCACTCACCAAAAGCTCTGGTCTTGGAAAAGACACTTTTAAAAACATTTATGTGAAGGGAGGGTAGAAAATACATAGAAATGACAGTACCCACACCACAGTGGTATGATTTTACATGGTCCCTTTTCTCCCTTACATCAACAATCTAAACAAAACAGCCGTGAAATGTGGGCATGAAAAAGGGTCTGTTTGTTCTGCAATTCTGTGCTGTGGGGCCACCCAGCAAATGACTGGCCTGACACCTACTTACCCGAGAACTATTAATATTAAGACATAATTTTCTTTTCCTTGAACTGTTTGAAACTACCTTCAGATTAGGAGTGAATGGGTCTGGGAGCCTCATGTTTCTTGGGAAGGCACTCAGGATCAGGTTTCTTAGCTGAATACAATTGGGTGGGATCACATCACAGAATCCATAATGGTAATCACAAAGGAACTCCGGGAAATCATGCAGAAGAACCAGCAGCACTCTTAAAGTGCCCTATTAAAAATTAAAAAAAAAAAAAAAAGAAAAAAGCATTTGCTGACTCCACACTAAATAAAATGGGAGTAATAGTTTTACTATCATGATTTTTAACTCAAATAAAAGAGGCAGAAGTATACTTCAATGACAAAGTTACAAGCTTT